TATGGATTTGCCTTGGCTTTCTTAAAAAAAAAAAAAAAAGTTGAAATATTTAACTCTGTCAGCCAGCCTAGATTATTTGCTCCCTTGGAGCCCATAGATTTACTGTAATTAATTCCACTCCAATTTTTCTCCCCCATAAGTATTTTTATTAAAAAGTGAATATGTCTTATCTTCTTTGACGAAGCACTTTTGCAGCCATTACATCTTCTCAGAGCTAGACAGAAATTACTAACCTGGAAAATTCCTTAAGGATCACTTGCTTCAAAGGGAAACACAGTGGCCCTGCTGTTCGAGGGGCATCAGTCACCCAGGGAGTCAGTGACCAAGAGGAAACACCTGTCTCCTGGGGACTTCCAAGATACTAGGACAACAAGAAAAAGAAAGTTCAGTGTTTTGTTTTGTTTTGTTTTGTTTTTTTTGAGACAGAGTTTCACTCTTGTTACCCAGGCTGGAGTGCAATGGCACGATCTCGGCTCACCGCAACCTCCGCCTCCTGGGTTCAGGCAATTCTCCTGCCTCAGCCTCCTGAGTAGCTGGGATTACAGGCACGCGCCACCATGCCCAGCTAATGTTTTGTAGTTTTAGTAGAGATGGGGTTTCACCATGTTGACCAGGATGGTCTCGATCTGCTGACCTCGTGATCCACCCGCCTCGGTCTCCCCAAGTGCTGGGATTACAGGCTTGAGCCACCGCGCCCGGCAGTGTTTTTTTTTTTTAATCACGGACATGTTAATAGCTTCATGGCTAATTTTGTCTACACCATAGGAATAACAGTGATTCCAGTTAATCATGCTCATGTTGAGGAGTGCTTATGAAGGGGCTGCCAGAAGGACCCTTCTTCTTCACCACCGCCAACACCCTAAATAAAGTGAAAAGCCAAGCCGGGCGGTGGCTCACACATGTAATCCCAGCACTTTGGGAGGCTGAGGTGGGCGCATCACCTGAGGTCAGGAGTTCAAGACCAGCCTGGCCAACATGGTGAACCCCCATCTCAAAAAAAAAAAAAAAAAAAAAAAAAAAAAAAACCCCACAAAAAAAAAAAAAGTGAAAAGCCAAAAAAAGAAAGAAACCAGAAAACCAACCAGAGGTCAACAAGAAGCTTCCAGAGGTAGTCAGCAGGGGACAAGAAAGTGTTTTTTTTTGTTTTGTTTTTTTAATATATATATATATCTTTGATGACAAGAAAAAGGGGGGGATCGTTATTATGAAGGAAAAATGAAGCAAATAAAAAAGGATATTTATTTATTTAAAGCATAATTTACTTTTAAAGTTATTTAAAGTATGAACCATAGGAGAGTATGGAAGAAAAACATTTAAGCAAGTTAAAATGTTAGGGTCTGCAACTGATTCTGTTTCCCTCTCTCTGTTCTTGTTTTTTTGGGTTTTTTTTTTTTTTGTTTGCTTGTTTTTTTGAGACAATTTCACTCTTCTTGCCCAGGCTGGAGTGTAATGGTGTGATCTCCACTCCTGGCAACCTCTGCCTCCCAGGTTCAAGCAATTCTCCTGCCTCAGCCTCCCGAGTAGCTGGGATTACAGGCATGCACCACCACGCCTGGCTAATTTGTAGTATTTTTAGTAGAGACAGGGTTTCTCCATTTTGGTCAGGCTGGTCTAAACTCAACCTCAGGTGATGCACCCACCTCGGCCTCCCAAAATCCTGGGATTACAGGCCTGAGCCACCACACCCAGCCGGAAGACAACTTTTAGTTGCTCACAACAGTAGTAACTCCAGGACAAACAGCATTTTCTCTGGGGAAATGCGTGACTTTGGAAGAAGCTCTTCTGTGATTCCCTTGCTAGAGGAGGCATTACATATTATGTAAGAGCAACAAACATGTATACACTCAAAATTGGAGGAATAGCTGATATATTTAGGGATGACTTCACAGAGTGGCTTGGAGCTCAGTTTTGAAATATGGGTAAAGTGTAGAAGAGTCAATAATGAGGATCTAATGTTAGTGTCTTGTAGAAGTTCAGAGGCGGGAAAATGTTTGGCATGTTTTCGGGACAGTGAGTAAATTAGCTTGAGTCTGAAGGACTCAGCAAGATGAGTAATTGAAGGTAAATCCAGAGACAGATTCTGGAGCCCTGAAAGCAGTCCATACTAAGGAGTTTTTTTTTTTTTTTTTTTTTTTTTTTTTTGAGATGGAGTTTCGTTCTTGTTGCCCAGGCTGGAGTGCAATGGTGCATTCTCACCGCCACCTCCACCTCTGGGGTTCAAGTGATTCTCCTGTCTCAGCCTCCCAAGTAGCTGGTATTACAGGCATGTGTCACCACATCGGGATAATTTTTTGTATTTTTAGTAGAGACGGTTTCACCATGTTGTCCAGGATGGTCTCGATCTCTTGACCTCGTGATCCACCCGCCTTGGCCTCTCAAAGTGCTGGGATTACAGGCGTGAACCACCATGCCTGGCTGCTAAGGAATCTTAATGGCAATAAGGAACTGTGGAAGGTTTCTGATAAAGCAGTGTTTTGATCAACTGCTGCTTAGGAGGTTAATTGGGTCCCTGAGTGCAAGATGGATGGGGCAGAGGCTGTGGGCAGAGATGTCAGGAGTGACATGAGAAGGTCTGGGTAGGGCAGAGGTATGGAGCTGAGTGGGGAGCACTGATGGGAAATCGGGTCCCAATAGGGAAGTGACTAACTTGGTAACTGACCAGAGGTAAAGGCTGGGAAAAAGGCAAGGGGAAAGGATGAGGTCATAAATCATGAATCTGTGAAATTGCCAGAACCATTAGTTTGAGGGCTCTGGGGGAGCTCAGGTGACTGCCAGGAGACAGAAGATTTAGAAGATGTCCAGGAACTAGAAGTGTACACAGGAGAGAATAGGACCATAGATAGAGACCAGAGAGGGAAAGGCTGAGGCCTAAATCTTAGAGGATGGAGACATGCAAAGGAGGTAGAGGGGTGGGTCACAGAGACTGGAGAGTTCAATTAGAGCTGGGTGTTGGAAGTCAAGGAGAGTTTGCAAAAGGACGGAGTGACTAGCAGAAAGGTGAAGAATGAGAGCTGAGCAGATGCTCTTGGCCCTGAAGTTCCCTGGTCACTTTGGTGGGAAAGATGTCAGTGAATGCCAGGAGTGGAAATCAGTTTGCACTAGGTTGAGAGGTGGAAGTGTAGTGGCCATCTGTTGGTTCTGCCTGCCTACATCCAGTTCCCTTTGTTCTGATAACAGCACTCCAATATTCCTTTGGGGATCCACTCTTCCTCATTTTCAGTTTTGTGGTTTGGATTGAGTGGACCACTCCCATGTGACCCAGGCTGGCCAATTAGAACATCCCATTCCCTACCCAAATGATTTGTTTGGGAATGGACAAGTAAGTCAAGCCAGGCTCATGAGACTCAATTCCAGGGCTGTTAGTAGAATCTTAGGGAAAGAGCTACTCTTTCTGCTGGAGCTGACAAGCAGGCAAAGTGTACACTTGGAGCTTCCTGTGGCCATCTTGCCATGAAGAAGAGAGATTCAGTCTGAGAATGAAGGAATGCAGAGAGTGAGAAAGACAGACAACCTATTGGCATCATTGAGGACCTGGATTCAGCCATGCTCGAAGTGAAAGATCTACTTCTGTACTTTTTGGCTCCGTGAACAAATAAATTCTATTTTTCTTCTCTTAAGACAATTTTGAGTTGTGTTTCTGTCATAAAGAATTCTGCCTGATCTAGGCCAGGCACAGTGGTTCAAGCAATTCTCCTGCCTCATCCTCTTGAGTAGCTGGGATTACAGGTGTGTACCACCACACCTGGCTAAGTTTTGTAGTTTTAGTAGAGATGAGGTTTCACCATGTTGGCCAGGCTGGTCTCTAATTGCTGACCTCAAGTGATCTGCTTGCCTCGTCCTCCCAAAGTACTGGATTACAGGCATGAGCCACCATACCCGGCCGTGCTTCATTTTTATTCCTTTTTTTGTCTTCTCTGACTGTTTCTCTTAACTTTTTTTGAGACAGTCTTACTTTCTCACCCAGGCTGGAGTGCACTGGCACAATCTTGGCTCACTGAAAACTCTGCCTCCCTGGTTGAAGCAATTCTCGTGCTTCAGCCTCCTGAGTAGCTGGGACTACAGACATGCACCACCATGCCTGGCTAATTTTTTTTTGTATTTTTAGTAGAGACAGGGTTTGCCATGTTGGCCAGGCTGGTCTCAAACTCTTGGCCTCGAGTGATCTGCCCACCGCAGCCTCCCAAAGTGCTGGGATTACAGGCATGAACCACCATGCCTGTGGCCTCTGACTGTATTTTCAAATAGCTTGTTTTGAAGCTCACTAACTCTTCTGCTTGATCAATTCTGCTATTAATAGACTCTGATGCAT